ATAATAATAATAATAATAATAAACGTACCGTTCAAGCAGCCATTTTACAGGCGCTGTAACACTAACATACTTACATACACACACACTTGGGATATATGTTAAATATTGTGTTTCTTTTCAACTAGTACATGCACGCGTCTTCTGGTAATTACTGAGGGGCACAATGTTAACTTAGTTGGTATTATGTTGGACAACAGAGTGGATGGTCCAGGTTCGAATCCTTAACAGATCGTTTTGAACTGGGGAGTTTGAAGATTGTTCACCCATTTGGCTCGGTCCTATTGGAGATGGGCGTTATATTCGGAAGATCCATGCAGTGATTTTGTAATTACTGTGATAAAACGGAAGGTGGCAAGTGAAAAGAACATGTAAGTCACATTACTCATACCTCATCTTAATTTGTTTTTCGCTTTATTAAATGACCTTCAAAAATTTGACTAGATTATAAACACAAAAGAATGCAGTTTGTGAATGACTTAGTGGATTTTTAACTTGACTGATTTCATAGGTATATTCTACATAATGTAAGTTGATTAATAAATACTAAATAAATGAATTAGGACGAGTGTGCTGATTTTTTTCTTCTTAAAATAGATTAATCTATTTGTCACTTGACCCCTTCATTTGATTCCTGTCAACACGGTTCAGGGACATTTTTCTGACAATGTGGGTTATAATTTTCATAAAAAGCACCAAAAAAGTGTTCCCTGTAGACCCCTCAGTCGCTTTTTAAGGGGCCTGAAGAGAGTTTAACTGGGCATGTAACATCAACAAAAGTTATAACAACAAAAACGTTAATGACAACAACAAGAGTTTACGAGAATGTGTTTTTGGGCTGGAAGCAGTTCTATCGGAGATAAATTATGATAAATTCGTCCTGCCTGATGCTTCCTTAGTCCAGACAGACTACTGGAGGAGATAAATTATGATAAATTCGTCCTGCCTGATGCTTCCTTAGTCCAGACAGACTACTGGAACGTTGTATACCTCTCAGCCTGGGTTAGCCCTGACAGGCAAGGTCGAAGCAGCCGGACTCATAGATGGTAAAAAAAGATCATATCAATGGGGGTGTAAAATTTCTCATATCATATAATTTAATGCAGGGTGATTAAAACAGAATACACCAAAATCATCACACCATATTTCAAAAACGAAAACCAATAGAAAACACCAGCTTGGACAGACGTTTTGTACAAAGATTAATTTCCACCACTTTCAGCAAATTATATCAATGGCATGAAAGATCGAATAAAAGCTACAATCAACGCAGTGGCATGAGACTCCATGAGGCGCGTTTGGGAGAAATTCTCATATCGGCTTGATGCTGGCCCTTCTGCAGGTGGTGGTCGCATTGAGCACTTATTGTTAAACCTGAAATACAAACTTGAAGGTATGTTCAACACATAATATGTCCAATCTGGAATTATCTATTGTTTTTCATTTTTTAAATATCGCTTAATGATTTTTTCGTATTCTTTTTGAACCACCCTGTGTTATAATCATGGCGGAGACAGAGGGCAGGTGATGGGAGGACACGATTGGTGGGTCCTACTTCTTTTTGTCCTCTCTGTTGTTTCTGTCTGCCTGTCTCATTTTCTTTTTTCAAATGCAAGTCTTTTTATGGCCCCATCGACACAGTAGATCATTTAGGAGGCGGTCGAAGCGACCCTGCACTTCTGTTACTCAAACTAGCAAGCAGAAACTCACGTCACTTGCATGGCTAATAAAGTTTGAGTAATGCGTACCGGCCTTATGTTGACAAGGGAGCAAAACTTTTACAGTTATCATAATCTTTAAACCTGACGGAGACAGGTCCTTCACCTCCTCATCTGGATAGCTCATAGAGTGGGAGAAAGCACGCCTTCTAAATGAACTAAAAAGTAGGGTCAATGGAGAAGTCTATAACCTTGACAAAAAAAGAAGCTCCGGTGTCTATGATGTAGTGGTTGGGCGCTTGGCTGTCGCACGCAGGAGACCCGAGTTCTGTTCCCAGATGGGAAAGATTGTTTTTTATCTAGTAAATCAATCATTTTGCTGGGATGTTGTATCTCTCACAGCTCGGGTTGCCCTGACAGAGGGGGTCGGAAGCCCGCCTCCTAAATAATCAAAATTGTGTCGCTGGGGAGTCTAAAACACCTACATGTAAAAAGTTAGAATTAGAGAAAACAGAAGCTTCAGCCCACCTGCATAGCTCATAAAGTTGGAGAAGGGCGTATCGGTGTAGAGCCGATACCTGTCACAGACGTCGGGAGCCACGCCTGGGTCTCGGCAGTGCACGTTTTGTGGGGTGGGAGCTGTGTCAGAGCAGAGGTCCCCGTGCTCCATGCTTGCCTCCACCTCAGTACACGGGTCGCTGAGGGATAGAAAGGTGGCGTACACTACACGTATTATTTATGCTCTCTCTCTCTCTCTCTCTCTCTCTCTCTCTCTCTCTCTCTCTCTCTCTCTTTCTCTCTCTCTCTCTCTCTCTCTCTCTTTCTCTCTCTCTTTCTGTGTCTGTCTGTCTGTCTCTCTCTCTCTCTCTGTCTCCCTCTCTCTCTCTTGGTCTTTCTTTCTCTCTGTGCACAATTGCATGTGTCTTGGAAAAATGTGAGGAGAGACAGTACGCATATAAAACACGTTTGGGTAATGATCTGTTTGAAAAAAAGTTTCTTTCCCTGAAAACACCAAGAAAACCTTAAATTATACAAATATGTAGTATATGTGAGGCAGCGTGGTGGAATCAGGCTCTCGTCAAAATAATCAAAGTGAAGAAACTTGCATTTTTCCGCAGGTTTGTGAATTTTTATCAAATTTTTATTTTTTGGCTCAACACCGTTCATGCCCAATAAAGAACTCATTTCTCTGTGGATTTTTCTTTAAAACGTTGATTAAAGGCACAAAAATGTAAATTTTCAGTTACCACAGACTCTTAAGCTAAGGAAATAACTAATCTTTGGTGGCCATTTTCTCACTAATTTTACCTCTGAAAATAGGTGACCTCCACCTCCTTCATTCGCAAATATCTCGACTTGTATTCTAGATAAATGGATATTTTTTCATCCAAATAAAGACAAGTGAACAAGCTTTAAGATGATACCAATAACTCTACATGCCCAAAAATTGACGAGAGCCTGATTCCTCCAAGCTGCCTCACATATGTACATTTCTCAAAACTTGGTCTATTGGACGAAAACTAACAACATGACATTTAGAATAAGCACATCAATATCCATAAGATTTGACAAGTTTCGTTGCTGAGGTATAGCACAGTTATTGAGATCTGAAGAAAAGGACTGTGATTTGGACATCGCTGGTTGTTGTTTTTTTCCTCCGTCGTCTTGAGGTGTGAGAAATATAACGGCGAAAAAATGATTTATTAAATAATATTAAAGCAAGTTATCAAGCACATTGGTGTTTTAGTACGGTTTTACGGCGCTCTCAACTGCATAAGTTCATATGAGCGCCAAGGGGTGGATGTCAAAAGAGAATTCCTTACAGGGAATCAGGCTTAATCTGCTCACCTCTCTAGCCTCAAAAGCACAAAGTCTGCTTCAACTATCAAGGCACCCCGTAAATAACGGGTCACATAAGAGTGACAAACATACAAAAGAAGTAGAGAAAAAAAAGGATGATAGTAAGGATGAGGGAAAAAAAGCAGCAGCTCCACCTATGTTGTTCCCGCTTAGTACGAGCATGACATTGATAAATCAGCCCATTTACAATTCTATTGTGCATAAGAACATGTTAATATACCACCTTTGGGAATGGCCTAAAGACAACTTCAGTCAGTAGGACTGCCATGGTTGGGGGGAGGGGTGGAGGTGATCTGAACCTGCCTACATGAGACTCATTTCTCACTTTACTCTTAGCTCACAGGCTTACAAATTTGAACTTAAATTGACAAGTGAGAAAATATTACAGCCTAGGTCAACTTGAACAAGCACATCAAAAACAGTCAATATCTAAACGTTGCCTCAGAAGAACCCTTTCTACTACACTCAAACTTGCTCCAGCTACAACCTGTCCAAGACAATCACTCGTACAAACGGACCTCTCATTTCTCACCTGGCGTTTTTAGTTGATGTTGCTTTTTATGTTGCTTTTTTTGTTCGTATGTTCGGTTTTGTTTTTTGTTTTTTTGTTGTTTTTTTGGTGGGGGGTTGTTTGTTTTGGGTTGTTGTTTTTTTACATTATAATGACACTGTCTAAAACAACCACCTTGCTACCATGAAATTATAAAAGTTCTATCGGACATTTTAGGCCGATTTGAGTTACCAAGACCATGGAGTCAGAAACCAAACGTTCGGTTTGCTCTATCATAATCGCAAGATAGTTCGGAGTTGTTATCAAGATATTCAAAAATAACATTCGAAAAAGCATGACATGATGTGAAACTCAGAATCTTTGACGTCAAATTTCTCAAAACTAGGTACTAAGCAGATAGAACTTTGTAATTCTGAGGTAGCGCGACCTGTCAAGGATGACAACATTTTTCCTCGACAATTAGTGACTGTCTTAGACAATTTCAACTGTCCATTCTTAGATAACAGAAAACATGCATGCTACTCACCCACAGGGCAGCTCGGAGACGCCGTGATGCACGTGCCACAGACCCAGGTTGTGACCAATCTCGTGCACGAGGCTGTCTGTCTGGCCCGACACACCAAACGTCTGAGGCTGGACCACAGTGCCTCCTAGGGGGGAGGAGATTATTTTATTATAATTATAGTAATTTCTTAATAGGTGGTTCCCTTTGGAATATCGATTCCATTCGGTTCAGTTCGGTTCAGTTCGAATTCTAGAGACTTCAGTTCTCACTATAGGTATACCCCTGCATCGAACCGATCTCCCGACTCACGGCCACTCTCGACCATGGAAATAAACGCGTCTGTTCTTGAAGGTCTACGTCGGTTTCTTTCGGTTTGTGCCACGATGGTAGCTTTTAATCCTCCATTAAAGAAATCCTGACCAGCCCCGACGACCAAACCGAACCAAAATGATCTTGCCAACGGGCACTGGATAAACGCACGGCACACACAACACAGTCAGGTCCTGTCCTAGTAAGTGCCGTAGATTAGAGGGGTTACTGGAAAGTAACAAACAAAAAAATAGACAGAGAGATATAAGGACGAGAGATAGTCGAACCTATTCTAACGACCACCTGTTCAAGACAATTACCTGTGCAAATAACCACTTCCCTACCCCCCCCTCCAAATTGTCTTTTTTTTCCCAGCACAATGACATTGTCCAAGAGCAGCGCCTGTCTGAGGTGTCCATATTTCTCCTTGACAATGGGTGGTCGTCTCGGGTAGTTCAATTATATTTTGTAGAGGTTTTTAAGCCAGTGTAGAAAGGCAAGGGCATGGAATTAGTTTAATTTTCAACACTAATATATGTATA